TTCCTCAGAGGGATCACCTCTCCCTGGCTTTCAATCCAGGCAATTTGAGTGGTGTTGATACCACCCTAAACTCCAGGGATGGGCATGTGACTCAAGCCTGGCCAATCAGAGAAGTTTCTCCCAGTGGCCACAGAGATTTGTTCAGGGATTAGCACAGGATCCAATTCAAGCCAATGGGAGACTCCAAATTTTTATTTTTTATTTGAACTTTGAGGAAAGAGCAGCTCTCTTTTCAAGTGGACATTAACCTTTAAGGATGTAGGCCTGGCAATGCTGGCAGCCATCTTGCCTATCTTGATTTGTGATGGAGAGCAGAATAGAGAGGTAGAGAGAGACTGGTTCCTAATGACACCTTTGAATTCCCAGACCTGGCTATGCCTGAAGCAAACTATACCTGAACTTTTCAGTTATGTGATTCAGTAAATTCTCTTTTATCGTTAAGTCAATTTGAATTTTTGTGCTCATTTGTTTGCTTTGTCACTTACAAGCTAAAGATTCCTAAATGATGTACCAAAGGATACCAGATTTAGAAAGAATTTGCTTTCCTGTTCCTCTCCCTACAAGGTCACCTTGGGCTAGCTTAGTCCTTCAACAAGGTCACCACTCCTCTCAAGTCAGTCAATTGTACATGACTCACTCTTTCTGGGTTCTACTAACTGCTTCCTGCCCCTGTATCTTAGGGTCAATGGATGGTAAGAGTTCAGCTCCTACCAGGCTGGGTTACTGTACTATTTGTGGTCCCCTACATCTATGCTTTTATAAGTAATCCCATTGTAAATAAACCCTCTTGCAATTATTCTGTTTCGTCAAGTGTGCCATCTATTTCTTGTTGGGACCCTGACTGTTGTTATAGCAGTCCAGGAGCCTGCAAGGAAGTACATTCTGGAGAGTAAACATCAGACTAAGAGCCTGTTATATCCTTCTTAAACCTTTCTTAAACCGCTATCAACCCTTCCTCCCTTCTAGCCTGCAACTAAATACCTTTGTGAAGTAGTCTTTCAACTTGCCTTTCCTTGCCTTTGCCTCCATCCATTCTATCCACCCTCCTTCTCCCCAGCACACACACACAAATACCCAAACCTCCATCTTCTGCCTGGATAAAAGCACAGTGTAAATCACACTTCTGTATGAGTTGGTTAAATTACTCTATTACATATGAATATTTTAAAAAGAAGTCAGTAAAAAATTACCCTAATGAGGAATTTCAGTAGGGGGAAATATACTGGGATCATGGATTCCCCCACCCCAAATCAAACCGTATTAGCCTAGTAGACCTTAGGCCAGGGTAGCTTCCAAGGAAAGAAGGGATTCCTGCTGCAGCCTAGCTTCTGAGTTGAATAAGGGACTGGGAATATTTTTGTCTTTAATTGCAATGGCCACTAGAGATTTGCTCTGGGGGACAGTTTGTGGCCAGACGTGCCCTAAAGTCACTTAGCGAGACTTTCATCAAACATTTGCAGAGTTTCCCTTTGGATTTTGGTTCCATTCCCCTACCTCAAGGTTTCTCTTAGTGTTCCTTTCCTACACAAACAAACAGAAAAATTTATACCAGGACTCAACCTTGATGAAAAAAGGCTACTATGAAAAAGCAGTCTGAGAAATCAGAGCACGGAGACTGCAAAAAGGAAAAATGCCCAGAAATGAAACAACTTTTAGTTTCACCTTCCTATGGCTAAACCCCAAGAATCAAAAAAAGGGGGGTCAGGCATGGAAGAGAGGAAGAAAAATAGTCTTCAAGGAATAGGTTGTCAATTGTCAAATTTTCCACCCACATGGCTGCCCAATATTCCTGTGGGAAAATCAGTCTAAAAGGAAATCATACATTTCTTTTTTATTTCAATTTATTGTTGTCAACAACTCCCCAAGACAATATAAATGTTTTCTACTTGAAGATCCCCAGCAAATAGATGCTTAAAAGGTAACTTTAAGATAATAAATTCAGAAGGGTGGAAGGTAAAAAATCATAACCAAAGTCTAGCATGGACAAAACTATGAAGACAATTGGAAGTAGTATTTCTCATTGACAGTCAAGTAAAATCAAGTGCATTGCAACAGCTGATATACAAATCAAATCCTGGTACAGCACAGTATAGGGGATTATTTAAATTAATCTACTAGAAGTTTATTGAACAGTTAGAATCTAACTTTAATGAATATGTTATCATATCCAGTTCTGTATAATAAAGTTATTTTTTCGTGTCCTAGCTGACAACCCAAACTTAGTACTCTTCAATACTGCTTTGAAATTGTGGACACAGTAAATTCCATTGAATGGGAAATGTTGTTTGACAAAAGATTCATAATTCCTTGTCTGTTTAATAGTCAATGCATTTAACAGGATAATGTATTATGTACAAAATATAGCACCAGTAGTTGAATTCCTGTGAAATGTTAACTATTTTAACTCAAATTTGACATATGTTTCAAAATGTTTGGGATATCATTCATTGATTTTTAAAAAGATGGTACTTCCTGGTAAGCAGCAGCTCAGAGTAGAAAGAGCACTGGACCTGGAGTCAGATGCAATGCAGGTTGTTTTCTCTAAACGCTCTCTAATATCCTTTCCAGATCTAATGTTCTATTATCTTTTCTTACTGAATCTTGAAAGTTTGATTGATGGAGGTAATTTTAAATGGTTTAAAAGTTGTTGTCGTTTTCATTTTGGCCTTTTCCTTTTTAAAGGTTAGTTTTAAAAATTGAGGTAATTTTTAAATGGCTTTAAAGTTGTCTTTTTCATTTTGTTCTTTTTCTTTTTAAAGGTTAGTTTTGAAAATTGAATTTGTTAAGGAAATGGGTTGGCAGGAGACAGTTTCATTGTTTTTTTTTGTATTTTCCATAGACCTGATGTCCTATATCTTCTATCACTTGTTAATAGTGGTCAGCACCCCCTCTACTCTGTTGATAAGACTTGGAAGGTATCTATCTGGGAAGGAGATTTCAAAGAGCAACAACAGTCCTTTCACAAAGCCAAGAGAAAAAAACACTGCTACGGACTCGATTGGTGTAGTGTGTTTACATAACTGGCTTCAATTCTGAAGATTAAATAGCTTAGAATTTCTTAAGCAAGTTCACATAATCAAATGTTGCCCTCATTCTCATCTGCCCTTCTTCCCAACCCTACATGTGTTTACATCTCCACATCAACGTCTGACCAGTAGAAAATCACAAGCCAAGTGTCCAAAATTGATCTCAGCATCTTCCTCTCCAAACCTGCTTCTCTCTTGTTTTCCCAGTCTTAATCAACAATATCACTATCTCATTGGTTCTAGCCAAGCTCAAAACCTTGGAGTCATTCTTGACTCGTCCTTCTCCCTCATTCCCCCATTCCCCAGTCCTGTCCCTCTCCAATCCTCCCTTCACATTGTGGTTGCCAAAGTGCTCTTTCTAAAATGCAAATGCTATCACAGGGCTTCCCTGATTAAAATGCTTTAATGACTTCTTTTCACCTACTGGATAAAACTCAAAGACCCTAAATAGCTCTCTAGCCCAGTCTTTGCCACTCCCTGCCATTCCTCTGAGCCCTTTTCACTGCAGTTACATGAACTGTTCACAGTCACCCAAACACACCATGGTCTTTTCATAACTGTGGCTTTGGATGTGAAATTTCCTCTGCTACTGTCTCAGTTCTAGATAGTTATTTTCCCTCATGTTCCCCACGGTATTTCTACATACTAGTTTTATAACTCTCATCACACTATATCATAGTTGCTTCTCCACTTGTTTATCTTTACTACCAGACTGCCAATTCCCTGTTTTGGGAGAAAGTAAACATTGTAGAGGAGATTCAGACTCCGGATGCTTCTAGGTGGCATTTAAACTTGCTTTGGATCCTGAGACACTGTGCTATTCCCTGGTGCTTGCCTTTTCTCCTTGTCCCAGCCCTCCCCCTGCTGGAGGTGTTAAAAAGCAGTGGAATGATCATGGCCAAAGATATGACAAAGCAACCTGGCTGATCCACAACCTGGATAAACATCTGCCTCGTGTCATTTTTCAAGTAAATGCAAAACTGGCTAATGAGCCTTGGCTTTTGGATGGCCTGTCAGGAGCTTTCTGTCTTGTCATGTATTAGTTGGCAGGCCCTGATTTCAATCCCCAGAGCTGTAGCTGGGGGTCAACACACATATCCTTGATGGTCTCAAAGAACATCACGCTACTGTCAAACAAACAGCCCAAGAAGAATTAGCCAGTGGAGATCTTCTTCCATGGTTTCTTCTCTGCCTGAAGCTGAGACAAACCTGTTTGCAGGAATGTTTGCCTTTGGATGATTACACCGTAGAACAAGGAACCAAACAACAATCACATACATATGCTAAGTGTTCTCCCCAATTACAATGGGTTCTACCTCTTTAAAAAGTCATAGAGAAGGTCTTCATCTCTATCCCAGAACAATATCCAGTTAACACTGCTTTCTGTCCCAGTTGAAGATAACCTAGTCTTCAAATCAGTATTTAGTTGCCTGTGGGAGGCAGCCAGTTTCTCAAGCACCCCTGGATATAGAATTCTATAAATATAGTGGCCCTAAGTATAGCCTGGGTTGGTCTGAGTGGTGATTCCCAGGCAAGGACCTTGCCAGGCAGGTTTTGAAAAAAGGGGTTAGAGAATGAGCCTGGTTGGGAGGAATCTCACCTCTAAAACCCACAAAATTTTAGAGAACATGATGAATTTATAATCATCATAGAAATTCTCCTTCATAGCTATTGTAAATTTTATCAGACACTATGTTTACACTACAGTGAAATTTCTAGCAACAAGAATGGGTTTTAGTTTTAAGTGGAGGGAAAGGAAATTAATCTATTTATCATCAGGAGAGACTACCTTTAAAAAATCAAACAGCTCCCACAATGTCATTTTAGACACATGTCAAAGGCAAGGAAAGATGATCTCCTGTCTTAGGTGTCCATCTGGCTGTGTCCTAATTAAAGAAAAAGAATTCAGCTGCTACCATGGAAAACACAAGGTAAAACAGAAACAGAACTGGTTGGATTGGTCCCCTGAAGTTCTTACGTTTCTATGTTCAGGGTAAAGATTACCCTACCCACAAAACGATCATTGATGACATCATTTATGATGCCTTTGCCCTTAAGTTGGCACTGCACAGGCACTGCTTGGTTCTTCACCACGTCTGTAAAGTGCATTGCCACCAGGGGGGAGGTGTAGTTAACCTGTAAGTGGAAGAACAATGAATTCTAAGTGTGAGGAGGTGGTAGGAGGGAAGTGATCAGATAATCAGTGCAGGATGGGATAACCTCCACAAAGGGAACTGAATAAATCCCATGATGCCAAGTCACAAATGGCCAAAGCAACTGACATGCTCTCCCTCCTTGGGAAAGTGTGGGGAAATTACACATTTTTTCTCATAAGTCACTGTCAAATATCTGATTGTCCTCTGGGGGAAACCAATTCTGACTTGGTGTGATATGATTTTCTGGATATCAGGCCATGAATCAAAACAAAACTGTTACCTATCAAGTCCCTATGCTGGAGATGAAGGCTTCATTGCCCCAAAGCTACTAATGGGAGAAACAGGGAGGTGTGATTTTTTGGCATGATTGAGTGCAATGGTAGTAATTTGCCTTCTCCTGGCTCTGCCACTGATTAGCCCTGTGACCTTGGGCAAGTCATTTCCTCTCTCTGAACCCCAATTTCCTCATCTGTAAACTGGAGGGATTAGACCAGACCGTATATGAGATTCTTTCAAATACAGAAAGGAGTGTGATTGTGATGGGAATTGGTAGAGGGAGCTCCTGGTTATGGCCAGCAGCTATTCAGCCCTCTGTTACTGCCTGCCGCTCCCTAATTCTCATAGATCCCAGCCAGCCCTTCCTTCATCTCTGAACCCTTTCTGACAGCAATGACTGAAGGAAATACAGCTTACGTGAGTCAGTTTGCCGTAGTAAGGGTAGTAGCGGAGGTCAAAAGAAGCCGACTCTGGGTAGTAATTGATGGATCGGATGTCGTTTTCATCACCTCTCTGTAAGCAAAAGTAGGTATAGCTGGGTCATATGGTGGGTTGGAGTCTAAGCTAAAGGGACTCGTGCCCCAAGTGAAATCACTGTGTGACCCACAACCAACTGTCCCAGGAAGACCAGAAAAGCAGAACCCAGCAGAGCTCAGCCCTGACCTATCCCCAGGGGAGCGTTTCCAGGGAGCAATTATTCCTTGGCTTTTCAGCTTAAAGAATACCAAATAGAAAGCCTGGGCTGAGGAAGCCAAAGGTGCTCAGTATGACTCTCTGTTGGCTTCTAGAGGACCCAGACAGAAGAGATCCAAAGGGCTCGCAGTACCTGGTACTGATCTGGAAAGAGGGTCTACCACTTCCGTCCTTTTCCAGAGAATCATACTGGGCATGGCACCAGTATGATTTGACTTTGGAGCTGAGGCAGGTATAAGTTAGAACATGTGTAGTAAATCTGCTCCACAACTTGCACATTGCAGGCTCGGTTCTGTTGGAAGCTCGAACAAGTGCACAGGGACTTGATGCACAGGCATGCAGCCTACGGGTGGATCACCTAAACTCCTGTCTGTGACCACATTCTCTCAAGTGCTTAATTACAGTAGGTGGAGTTAGGAGCATAAACATGAGGGACCCAGGTAATGGAAATGATTAAAGTAAACAGGTCTACCCTCATCACATCATGTTAGGTAGGGGGCTGCACATTTGGACAAATAGTGCATCATTATTAGCAAATTTCTCACTAGGGTCATGTGATTACTTCTGTCAATATACTACAATTGTTCTTGGTACAAACTAAGCTCTCCTTAATTTATTCTAGTCATTATCTCATCCTGCTCGATTTCCACAAGCGGGTGTGGATTTGACCAGTATAGATTATTATAGAATGTATAGAGACTTTTAATATTTCTCTTTTTTTAAAGGACAGTTCTCAGCAAGGTTCAATGTAAGCTGAAAAAATGAGCAGCTTCCATTAGGGAACTACAAGCAGAACTCAGTCCAATTACTATGCTAGTTTAAGACTGAGTTGGTCTTTACGTTTTACTTATATAATCTTTTAAAAAGCACTAAAATTTAGTTTTGAGAATGGCCTGTGGAATCAGTTCTACTAGTTTTTAGTCACATCTCACATGTGTGAATATTTACACATACACACGTACATGTAAACAGAGTGAATGTCCTTCCTACCTTGTTCACCTGGCAAATACTGCCTGACTTTTCAAAGCTCATCTTCAGTGTCACCATCTCCCACATGGAACTAACCTTTCTCTCTTCAATGTCCCCATTATACCTTTCATAGCACTGGTAATACTTGATTTCCCTGACTTCAGAGAGAGAGTCATATTTATCTCAGCATCCCCAACACCTAGCAAAGGACATGGTATACAAAAAGTGATCAATAAATGCTTGCTGAATGTGGGATACTGGCTCAATAAATGCTGCCTTTTGCTGTTTTTTGATCTGCCACCATGAAGACGGAAGTTTTCGGTTGTATTTCTAATACTGAGAATGGGATTGCCCGGCCTCCCACATTTGCAAGACAACTGCCCAGGGCTGGGAGTGTTCAGTTGATTGTCATTGAACCCTGAGGAGGGAGCTACGGCCTGTTGAAGAAGCAAACCGAAGATCTAGGGCTTTCTCTTACAAAGGAGCTAATTGGTGCAGATGAGATAGGAGTTAATGGTCCCTCGAAGGACAGTTAATTAGCATATTAATGGAGTTCTGTTTATATTTCCCTTGTAGTCATTTGTTATTGCAACACCCAGTGCCACTGGTCATTGCTGCAAAACGTGAAATTCAGTTTTAAAATTGGGGACTAATGACTCTAATGAAAGCTGTTTGGTTAGTTCAAAGAAACAAGTAATTAGAGCTAAAAGCAAAAGTGTAAACAGAATCCCAATTAATGACTTGGCACATTGTTGTTCCCTGCTGTGGCCCCTGGCTGAGGTTCAGTCTTCGGCTTTTACAGGTATAAATCATGACACACTGACACACACACATACACATACCACACACGCAAACATATATGAACTGAATCCTTTCTGCAAAGAGGAAGGCCTGAAGGCACTAAAGGGAGTTGTAGTTATGAAAAGATTAACCCTTAACCTAACCTACTTTCTGTGTCTAAGTCCTTGGAAGGGACGAACTACCTTTTCGCATGAAACAGATGTGCTAACAACGCTTACTCGAAAGGGCACTTTACCTGAACTTTGCAGGAAACCTTCACAGGATCTCCAAGCTCAGGACGAAAGCCTACAATCTATCAAAAGAAAACCAGTGTTGTTTTTTTTTTTTTAAACAAAACAGATTTGACAGTAAAAACGGGGCTTTTCTAACCCCCTACCACCAGTCATCCTTCCTCAGGCACAAGCTTCATCTATTTTGCCCTCTCAGAAATGTTCCAAACAGTAGGAAATGTCAAACATCTTCAGAGCTGTGCAGCTCAGCTTATTCCTTGTTGTATTTGTGCCTGATATTCATACACAGGGGAAACTGCAGCAAGATAACCCTAAGGATGTAAAGAACTTTCTGATTTCAAGAGGGTGTGCCTGATAAGGCTCTGCCATACCTAAGGCACGGCAGGAGAGAAGAAAATGCATTTTCTATGATGTAAGAACTGTCCCCCATTCCACCCCATTCCCTGTTCCAAACAGCTCAGGACCCCATTCTTGACAGAGGCCATCAAGGGGCAGGTTTGGGGGTTGGGGAAAAGGATAGCAATAGGAAGTGTTCAGAGAGAAAAAGGATTTGATAGGTTTGTCTGGTTGTTTGTATTTCTGATGCTGTCAGTAAAAATTGCCAAACCTGCAGTGTGTGAAGACAGAGCCCAAGACAAATGGAGTGGCCAGAGCCCTCCTACTCAGCTCATCCACTTATCACCACCAGATATCAAGAGCCGATATACCCGGTTCATCTTTAGAAGAATACAGGGCTGTCCAGTAGAGTATCCAAAAGTAGGGTCCTCCAGACCAGAGCAGTTCTTCAGGAAGGAGCGCTTAAATTGGCAGGCCTTCTTGTCCTCATCCTCGTTGCCATCTTGGATGAAGTACTGCCCCGGGGGACAATCTACATTCATTTCCTCTTGAAGACTGTCATTATAACCTAAAGCATGTATGGGTGGCAAGGGGTCATTAGGCAGGTGCTACAGGGGAACACCATGTGCTCAGTAGTCCTCCCTCCCCAGTTTCCTTTCTGCAGCTTCCTTGCACTCCTCTGAAAGCCCACTCGGTCTACCCAAAGCCCTGTGCCCTGGCATCAAGTGCCGAAGGGCCTTCATCAGCAACATCCCTCCAGGAAGCCTTCCTGGTTAGTCACCTCAGCCCACTTTTATTGCCTTCCCCCTTGCTTCTCATTCCATGGAACTTCTGGACATCCATCTCTGGGTCATATGTTGTTCACTTTTTAACTTTTCTCTATTTCCCATTTTATCTTTTCAGATATGGTAAACTATAAACTTGGAGGGCTTCCTCTTCTACTTCTGGAAGAGGAATAGCACATAGTTGGTAGATTTTTGGAAGAGAGACTGACTGAATCATGGCAAGGCATGGCGTGTATAAAGAGGCTAAGTTCCTGGATTAAATCTCTTTTAAGTTCATGTTAGGAAATGTCTTCCTTTGAGTTCAATGAGAGGCACCTGATTGTAAGAGAGTGAGAACCATGGGACAGAAGGAAAGTGGAAAAAGAGGAAGAGGAAGAGGAGAATGGGGGAAAGGGGAGGAGGAGGAGGAGGAGGGAATAAGCCAGTTTCTCATCCTTTACAGAGGGAAGTTAGCACTGCAAAATAGAAGCTCAGATTAAAAGATATAAACCAATGACAACCACAGGGTCTCTACTGAGAGGGCGAGGGGGTGAGATCTTGTCTACTGAGGCCTGAGGCATTCAGGGTTAGTGTCCTTTTACATTGGATGGAATGTAACATGTGTCCAGGGTACACATATCAGGGAGAGAGCTGAAAGGGGCTATCTGTGAGGTGACTCTTTGGGTTACCAAACACCATACATAGAACTGGCTTTGAAAATAGCTGCATTATTTCCAATTTGGTTCTAAATGATGGAGCCCGGTTAGTCCTGTTAGACCTAGTCCTCATGTATTCATGTTCGAAGTAGCTTGCTATTTCAGAGGCGACTGTGCACCTGTGATTCACCAGAAGTAAAAGTCAGAATATACTGCTGGATCTTCATCTACATAGGTTGTGACTTGGGTTTGATATTATTAAGTGGCAACTGGGAATTTTAAATCTATTTCAATTACGGCTATGCCTTTATTTTTCCTTTGACAAAGCTACATTTAATTCAAGGCTTTGTTTTTTTTTTTTTTTTTTTTTTTTAACAAGAACTATAGTCAAATAATACCTTCCTAAATAGAAGCTGCAATCACGTGCTCATTGTTTCTCTTGAGGTAGTTCCGTTAAAAATAATGTGACATGAGCATGACCCTTATTGCAAAATCCCAGTCCTCATGGGAATGAAACTGATACTCTTGGATGTCTATTTCAGAGATGTGTTTCTGTTTTAGCAGGACATATTATCTGCTCTTAGGAACTAAAAACTCTCAGCTTTTCCTAACATTCCCTGCCTTCATCATCAGGTCAGAATTGGTATTTCTCCGTTTACTAGCTTCTCAGAGGGATTTCCTCAGCAGAGATTCTGGCAATACATTTGCAACATCTCACAAACACTTTGAAAGAAAAGAAGATTTCATGCTGGCTATGATGTCCAAAACGTTTTTGTGGCCCAAAATGGAACTACATGGACTCAGAAAGAACCCAGCCTCCTTCATTTTACAGGTGAGGAATCTGAAGCTCAGACTTAACCAAAATATTAATAACACTGAGCATTACTGATATAAAGTTTCTAACTCCTGGTCATATGGCAGCAGCACAGAATTATGAAAAGCAGCACCTCTCAAACTTTAAAGTTCATATAAATCACCTGTGGATTTGGTGAAAATACCTATTCCAACCCAACAAGTCTGGGTTGGGGCCTGAGATTCTGCCTTTCTCTTTCTAACAAACTCCCAGGTGATGTCCATGATGCTGGTCCCTGGGTGACACCTTGAGTAGCAAGGGCATCAAGAACATGAATGTGGGTTCAAACACTGGTTCTGCTGCTGGGAGACTTTGATCAAGTTACTTCCCCTTTTTGAGCCTCAGTTTCCTCACCTGTAAAATTGGGACGATCGACTAACTCTATTATATAGGGTTAAAGTTAAATGACAAAATTTATGTATTTAAATAACACTTCCTGGCACATGATAATGGATTGTTCTCCTCCTAATTCAGTGCACATTCTACCAGCTACCCTCCATCCCCCCACCTCAGCCAGGCCAGGACAACCAAACCAGACTAACTGGGTTTTTTTCCCCACAAAGATTAGATGTATCAATGCAAACCCCACTGGAGCTCCTCTTTGATAGCTGGATAAATACAGAATCTGTGTGCTCTGTGTTTAACCTTAACCAAACTGCTACCTCAGCTTTTACTACGTGGAAGGGCCTCCCACAAACCCATTCATTTGTCCCTGAAAATTTATCTGATGATGCTATAGAGATAGATATCTTGAAAATATTTGGGATCAAAATGTTGGAGTTGATTACCACCCAGGGATTCTTCCTCTAACTCCTTCCTGGAATGCTGTTAAATAAAGACACTTGTTCTCTCTCTTCAAGATAAGGCCCATCTCCAATAAACAATTTCTCTTACCTTGAAAAAGTATAGAAGCCAGGAATCTTCCATCTCTGGAGAACATTCTCCTTTTCTCACCACTATCTCCCCCCAGAATTATCTTTTATAAATGATCATTATTGAGCTACCTGGATGTGCTCGGGACTTAACTAAGTGCTGTAGGGTGTTCAAGAAGAGAAAACAGGCTCTCTGCCTCAAAGAGCGTATAGTCTTGCTGGAGAGTTGGTTTGTATGCTTTCAAGACAACATACACTAGAGCAGTTCTGATTGTATCTACAGGTGCAGAGGGGGATGAAAAGTAAGGAAAGACCATGATGGGTTGCGGTTAGTAAGATTGGGATTTCTGGGCCAGGTGAATTTTGAATTTTGAATTCCCACCCATCACCTTTCAAAAGAGCTTTCCACTATTCAGAGGAACTTACTTACCCTGGAGAAAGCCATTTAGGCTAATCACATAATGCTGCCAAGTGTCAGGTTCAGAAACGTTGAAGTTGAAGTTAAGGCTATGGGCGAAGGGTCTGATCATAACTCCTGGAAATGAAAACAGGTCTTGGATATATTAACCCATTCTTTGGATAATTTTTTGGTATTGATTCCCATGAAACCATTTCCCCCCAGGCAATCAAAATGAAAAGGACCATAATTTGCCAAGTACCATTTTACTTTTACTCTTAATAATTGAATCTCTAAGTCATTACCGGGAAGAGCCAAAGTTAATTGAGGCTGAACATGCTGTGCAAGCAGATTTCTGTCCAGCAAGTTCTGACAACACAGGGCATTTGGGCACACTCACCAGGAGGCTTCACCCGCTCAGTGAAGGTCGGCATGTAAGGACTGATGGTCAGAAATAGTGTGTACATGCAGAGAGTGATCACAGCAGCCAGGGAGGCATAGAAGAAGAAGTAAATGACTAAGATCAGGCCTGCAGAGTAATCAAACATGAGAGTGGTCAGTGCTTGCCAACAAGCCCTGCCTCCCCACTCGAACTCATGAACCAGAACCAACCCAAACGAGAGATGGCTTTTTAATAAATCCCCCAGATTCAGTATGTCCTTGCTTATTCAGACTTCACCGATTTGGAATTGGTGAGGATTGTGTCAGGGGTCCGATTGCAGTTTACCTTTACAGCGTCTCCGATGGAAGGGCTTGCTGAGCAAATGATGATCATGAACAAGATTATAGGGGAGTAGAGTTTAAAGTACTGCAGAGGGCAAATTGCTTGAGAGTCTTCTGGGCAACGTTGATGTCCTAAGTACAAATCATTCTTCTCTATTCATTAAAGCAGGTGCCCTGAAGAGTCCTAGCAGCTTGGTTCCAGTGATTATATGTATTTGCAAGTGATGAAAACAGCGTTTCTTTTCACATAGTCTATAATTCAAACTTTTGATTAATTTCCACTGGACTTGCCTCTAATCAAGGCAAAGTGAGATTTTGCCCTACTTATTTCAAATCTTATTCATCTTTAGCAAAAGTTTAAGTGGTTCAGCTTTTCAAAAAGAACACTAACACAGGGTGGGGAAGGGAAAAGGAGGAAATGGTACTTAATCACTGATACTGCCCGTGAACTTACGTAAGTAATAGAACTTCTCTGTACCCCTGATTCCTCACAGGAAAGCAGGGATAAATTTAGCACTTACTTCATATTGTAATCTATATCCCTAACAATATCTGAAATTCAGCCTTTCCTTACATTCTATCCTGACTATACTACTTCCTAACTGTTTACACTTGGACATACTGTTCGCCTCTCTTTTTGCCTCAATTTTCTCATCTATAAAATAAGGACTATAAAATAATAGTACTCACTTCTTAGCATTGAATAATGCATATAAACAGCATAGCACAGAGCCTGGTAGATACTAAGTGCTCTATAAATGGCAGTCATTGTCATTGTTACTATTGATATTATTATTGCTATGGAACCAGAAGCATAGTTGTGTGAATTTTCCCTCTGTGGGCTGTATTAAGACTAGGTTTGCCCCAGATTAGGCACCACAGAGTGAGGTGAATGAGCACGAGATTGCTGAGAAACTCTTTTCAAGTCCTCCTTGGGGTTCTCTCAGGCAACAATATTTGGCTCCACTAGCAGCAGTGACATGATGTCAGAACTACAGATTTGAACTGAATCATGAACGAGAAACTGGAACAAACCACAAAACTTTGCTGTACTCAAAACTGAATCCAAATATTAATTTTTAAATTGAACCATGAACCAAATAAAATTAACCAAAAAAGGAGTGGGGGAAGGGGGGAAAACTGTAGCAATTCAACTAGAAGTAGACCTGACCTTTTATGTTTTATTAGATGAACTAAAGCAGAACTGTAACCTGAACACATTGATTCAGCAGGAGTCTCTGGGGAAGAAACAACAGTGCCTGTGTGCCTGTGATACTTGGCTGTTGCCCAGTGGCTATTCTAATGGGATTTTCCCCTGTGCTTCCTCCTCCATTCCAATACCCTTATCCCCATCCTGGGAGTGGATCAACACCTGGAAGCCATCCTAGGGGACCAAAAGACTCAGTTTTGTGGATGAAGGGAAAGCAGTGAAATACAGGTGCATTCCCTTGGAGTTATCTTCCTTCTTTCCCAGCATGTGTGGCCAGGAAGCTGTAGATGGGAAAGTGGCACTAGCAATGAATTCCCTCAGCCTCACCCAGGAGTGGGTGCTCAGAGTCTGTGATAGACTAAATATCTCAGCTACCCCCAGGTGAAACGAAGCAGGGTCCCCATCTGAACCCACTGATCCCTCCAGCCCTTTCTGCCACAGATGTTCAGGTATTACTTGGGCCCCTCCTCTAGGTAATGTAGGGTTCTCTCTTGAATGCCCCACCCAGCCTTGGATAGACCAGTAAGTACCCATGTTCCCAACTCTTCATTCCTCCCACTAAAACACCTCATCAGGTCCTGAGGCCCTATCCATTAGGGCCTTGTTCATTATTACAGTTCATGAAGATGGTGTGGTGCTCTGGCAAGAGAATGAAATCCGGTGTTCATCCAACCTGGGCTTGAATCCCAGCACTGCCACTTAGTAACTGTGTGACTTTAGATAAGTTACTTACCCTCTCTAAGCCTCAGTTTCTGCATCTGTAAAATGGGGATAATAATATTACTACCTCATATGGTTCTTGTCAGTATCCAATAAAATAACATATAGTTCCTAAGAATAGGGGTTGCCCAGCTACCAAAGGAAAAGCCCAGATTGTATTAACAGGCTGAATATATATGTTGGGCAGGTTGATGTCCAGATTGGAACAGGGTTAGTAAATGCTCCAGTGGGAATGTAGTTCTTAGGAAAGAAAACAGCAAGGCATGTGCTTTATGGCCAAGGCATTAACGTTACGATTTGCCTTTTGCCCAGGGTAGCCCAACCAAAGAATTCCTGGGCTCTCCTTAGACCTACTACCCAGAAGTCTGGCTATGGCCTACCATGCAGTGTTCCCACTGCCATCTCTTCCCTGGGCACTTGAACCTTCCACCCTCGTCCCCACTTATTGGCCTATGGATTGTCCTCCACAGGAGCAATTTGGATCAATTCATCTGGTGAAGTTCCAGTGGCTGGCTGCTTAAGGGTTAATGTATGGCTCCCACTTCCAGAATCACACTTGCATTCTACAATGACTGTTTTTCCAGGCCTCTTTAGGCAAGAGAGAAACAGCTGTGCTCCCTTTGGAACCCCAATGAGTGTCCAACACTTGTCTGCAGCTTCCAGAATGTCGGAATGTCCCTTAAATGGTACATTTGTTCCAGTTGAGAGTTTGAGGGATGGGCAGAGGTGGGGCTGGGAACTGAGGAGGGGTGAAGGGAGATGGGTGTTGTTCAGAGCCCCACACCTGCTATTCCTAATTCCAGGAAGCAGGACTGGCTGTTTCACCCTGAGTGAGCTGAATTAACTAGTCAGGGTGAAACGTTAACTACGAGGGAGAGAATTCTCAGCCAAAGGGTCTTTAGAAGGCACAGCCATCAACTTCAGCAACCTAGACCCTTGGCACTAGGGGACTCCTATTTCATCCATAATATCCTCTGTTATTTTTCTTCTGCAAATTGACTGAGTTCCAAACCAGCAGCTGCTCTTTTTCTGGGCTGTACAGAAAGTGTGGTAAGTATGAATTTTACCATGGGCTAAATCTCCTGGTGGGGAAGGCTCAGCATTAATAGTTTAAGAGGTGAATAGGACCCTGGGAGGGAGGTGCTGGGGAAGTTGTGAAGTGAAAATGGTGGCGCCATGTGGTACAAAGAGGAAATGCTAAGGAATACAATTCTGTCATTGATCAAGCAACATGGAGGCTCAACCTTAATCTCCAGTAACGATCCTTTTAAACCTAATTCCTCTGTGTCTACCACGGGAGAGGAAAGCACCCACAAGCCAGGGCCAAGAGCAGGCCTCCTGGCTCTCCTTCTCTGACATTATAAGATAAAGTGATGAGGCTTTATAAAAACCCTTGGTCAGGTTGGCAGGGACTTGGGTCTCATATCCTAGAAATAGTCTTCGGCATAGTTCTTTCAATTTTACAATTTTAACATCTTATTGGAGCCTCACTCTGATCCTGTGAGAGAGGCAGGGCAGGGATCGTTTCCCCCAGGAAAGGTAAACTGAGGCTCAGAGAGGGTAAATGGTGGGTCCAAGGACACATGGATAGAAAGTGACAGGACTGGGACTTTAAAAAAAAATCCTGTGTTTTTTCAACTCATTCTCGCTGTCTCTCTGCATTGCAATGGATGTTGAGCCCAGTGTATTTCAGTTACACAATCAAGTTTGTTCATCCATTTGGAGTTTGTGCTGATGGAATCTGTCCACAGTGCAGGCATTTCCCTAGGCATTGGTGCCTTTACATGAAATGCTAAGAGAAGTTTGCAGACAAGCCCATTCCAGCGTATGGTAAAGGACACCACACCAAAAGCAAAGGACACCAGACTGGGGCATTGGATGATTGGGACTTACTCCAACTCTGACCTGTTCGGGCCAGAGACATCCTTCTCTCCGGATCCCACAGGTATTCGTTCAAGATCTGCAATTTCTGCCACCAGGCATTGCCTGTTGGCTGCCCCTGACCCTCTTCCTCCTCCTTTTCCTCCTTCTCTTCTTCTTCTTTCTCCTCCTCTTCCTCCTCGTCCAATTCAGGCACCACCATCACCCGAGCTTCTTCTTCTGCTTCCTCCTCTTCATCTGCCAAGTAGTTCTGGTTCACTTCATCCTGATCATCCTGAAACAGTGACAAAACACAATCCCCTTTATGAAAAAAATTTCCAATGGTGCATCCCACCAGCCAAAAATAAATGGAAACAACTCAATATTTGGAGATGCTTCAAATTTCCACTTCCCCATAAACATACCAATTGTTACAAGAGGAGGATTCTCTTTCTCTCTGTTGTTTTGAAGGAAATATCCTTTCTATGACCCATTTTAACTCAATATTCTTTCCCTAGAGGTGCAAATTTTATTCTCGGCTTCAGGCATTTGGGCTCTTCCCCTAGCACTGTTCATGTCACTACTCTGTCCTGGGGCATTAGCCACCTGTTTAACTTTGGCCTATAAGTACAGAGCTGAGGTCACACGGGGGGATGGAGAAGTCTTAGACATTTGTATCCATGATGGCAAATTCCCAGTCTAAGCCAGCTTCGTCCTAACAGCCTGTACACTTTCAGCTGCTCAACCTCACCATCCCAAGTAGTGTCTAAAAATAGTCTGGGACAGACATCAGGAGGAGAGACCAACTGCTGTACCCCTCCTCAAAACTTAGCCTGGCTTCCCAGCAGCAACAAGAGATGGGCAGTTATTTGTTGCTTCTCTGACTATTGCCTTAGCTGGAACCTCTTCCTGCCTTAACCTGGTGGGAGAGACCACCTGAGAGCTGGGACCCCAGGCTTCCTTAGTCTCCCCCTGTAACCTAGGCAAAAAGCTGGGCACGTAGTAAATGCTCAGCACATATTTGTTGATTGACTGATTGCAGGCATTACTTGAGATTTGAAACTGTAATCTTCTCTGAGTGGTTCTAAGAAAATTAAACCAAAAAAAAAAAAAATAGAAAAACCCAGACTTCACCAAGTGGTGTTTCAAATGCCTCCCAGCCACAGGCTGGAGCGCTGTATCTTTGCTCTTTGGGGGTTTGCCAAGGCTCACTGCAGCAGCAGAAAATGAGGCCACCCTCCCTTGCCTTTGCTGTCCAAGTCTGAAGAGCGGCGGGGCCTGTGCACCTGTTGGGTTGGATATGTCAAACACTAGAGGCCAGGGGCTCTGTGCTGCTCCCTCCCTGCCTGATTCCTCAAAGGCCACTTAGAGGGCACTCAGCTAAAATGCTGCCTTTGGTGGGGGATTTAGCAAATTTGCTTGTTCAGAATCAGTAAAAGTGATACAGAATGACGAGGCTCATCTCTCAGCATTCAGCTTGCCCAGAACTATCTAGCTCTTGATTATAAGCACTCTTAAATTGCTCTCCAATTTGTTCCAATGTACAGCTCTATATCACACACCATATCAGAACTGACAGGGACTTTCAAGATTTGCTTGTCCATCTAAGGCCCAGAGAGGGGACAGGATCTAGGCAAACCCACACAGCAAGTTCATGACAGAGTTGACAGTCTCCGAACCTACATCTCTTGATACCCTGAATAATGATGTTTCTCTTCTATCACATTGAGCACAGGTGCCTAGAGGTAGCTTAGCAGATTTATGAAGCACAACAATGTCTGAGGTTCCGTGTTCCCAAAAGATTGTAGGCACTTAGAAGCAAGGATTTGTGATTGACATGGACTCATAATGTAAGGCTCAGGAAAATAACCTCATCCATCACTCAATATTGAATGGATTAATATTTGTTCTTAAATCTCTTTCACTTATGTGTGAACCTATGTACATATTTGACCTCTCAAAATACACTTTGAGCACCCCGGAGGAGGGTCCGTGTTTTCTAACCTCTCAATGGCCTCCACAGTGTGAAGCCCACAGCTTCACAGGACCCAGTGGGTCCTGACCAAATAACAGCGATGCCTGCCTGACTTAAAACTCCTGATGCAGGACTCCGGAGGAATGCTCTCACAGAGCTGGTGCCCCTAACCTGGCAGTCATGTGTGCTGGAGTGGGAAGTCATCATGGCCCCCAGAAAATCTACTGTACCTGAGAATCTCAGACAATTTGAAGCGTAACATTTTATCAAGGAGGAATTTATATTCCTTTTATATTTTATGAATAAATTTCTTTTCTCCCCTTGTTGCCTATGCCTGCCTTTCTCCTCTGCTCCACAGAGGAGGCAGTTGGCCTTGGCCTCAGCCTGATCTCATTTGTAGATATGAGCTCTTGTGGTAATCCCATTAAAGATGGCTTGTCATTAAAGCTTTACCCTCCTGGGAAGAATTGATCTTCTCGGAGCTAATTTCCCCCTGCAGCTCTCATGCCACCTGAGACTTACTTCAGGAACCTCAAATCTTTTCTCCTCTCCCATTTCCAGGTATAGAGGAACATCACATTGTGCAAGGGAGGTTTTCCCAAAAGGTTCCTCATTAATTAAATCCTGTGTAAAATGCACTTTTGTGAAACTATTTAACAAAATGCATTAAGGAATCCTTTGGCGATGAGAATGCTTATCCCCAAGGTTCTGTTTTTGTTGTTTCCTAAAGTGGCACTACCCTCGGGTGATATTGTGTGTGTGTGTGCACTGGAATATGGTAGTGGGCGTGCGCTGGGCCCATCATGTTTCCCTAAAAGGGAAGAGTCTGAAGGACAGAGGGTGGCTCCATTTTGAGCAATCTAAATATATAAACATATAAACAAATATATAAACAAACAGTATGACCCAAAGGATAAATTTGTGCCCTGCATTGAGTAATACCCCATAAACATTTGAATGGTTGGTTAATTTTAAAAAAGAAATTAGTGCATGATTGCATCAAATAATTTCTTTTTAAATTTTTATCAAGTATTATAAAGAGCAAGATCCCCTGATGTATTTAAAATCCAAGCCACTTAACAACTAACTGAAGTTATGCACAACACTTTAACAACATTACATAGAAAAGAAGGCAAGTAAGGAATAGTTATATATGCCCCACAGCTCATAACTGCTCTGAGAGCTAGAAGGAACCTTGCGGAATTCAAAAGAAAGATTTTACAAATTGTGGCTAGAAAGCTAAGGGAAGCCCTCTGTAGGTTGATATGGGGTTAGAAGAATTTGTGTTTTCTTCTGCTGGCTGTTGACAGTCTTCGCTTAACTCCCTGGTTATATAAGTGGCTATACCCAAAGAAAAATGAATTAGGCTTTGTTTCCTCCTGGGCTCAGATCACAATCCTCTCTGGGAAAGACTTCAGAATCCTCACCAAAAAGTACTGTGTGTCATGCATATTAATAATTTATAGCAAAGTAAATGCAAAGAAACTTTTAGATCAAATAATTTGTAATGCACCCTGGAAATAAATGGTTACACCAAAGGAGTGTGTGCATGTGTGTGTGTGTGTGTGTGTGTGTGTGCATGTTTGTTAGGCAGCGTGGGGTGGCAGATCAGGGGTTAGGGAGCTGCATACTGCACATAAAATGGAAAGAGCACACAAGATTAGAAGCAAGGAGACTTGCGTTCTCACTTTGGCTCCTTCACTGACTTGCAGGTACCTCCCGAGCTCTTGAGCCCCAGCAGCCTCCTTTACCTAATGAGGGGTTCTGGAGAGATGATGTCTAGGATTCCTCCCAGCTCCGATTGACAATCCTATGATTTCAGCTCAAGTTTGATATTTCTGTTTTAGAAAAAGAGCAGCTGCGTTCTAAGAAACTATCACCCAAAGGGACTGAGACAGCTGGATAGGCAATGCCTTTCATTTCCTCTTCCTCTTCCCTTCTCTCTTGGCTAAATTTCTTGCTGTCAAAATGAAACCTCTGCTCCCAGACTTCAAAAGGTCTGTTCAAATTCTAGACTCCCAGGAAAAAACCTTAGAAGTCCCTCTATTCTCTGGTATCTTCCCCTTCCCTAATCTTTCTTCCACAGTAAGAGGGGCTTCCTCCTTCCAGCCAGCAATTTAGGGTGCCCTGGGATTCTAGGAGTCACTGTTCCTTTTTGAAACCCTGGGCTTCCCTAGACTTTGCTGTTTCTGCCCATCCCAAGGAGAGGCAGCTGTGAACCAAGGACTACACAGCCCCCAACCCCTACCCCATTACAAAAGGAGGAAGCAAAATATTCTGCCCCCTGGGACTCACAAGTCTGTAGCGATAGCCGTAAGGAAAGGCTGGAGCCCTTCTGGACCGGAGTTGCCTTCTCATGGCTATTCAGTGGGCAAAGACACAGCAGAGGCAGGCAAGTGGGCGAGAGTTCTGGAGCTTCTGCTGGTACAGGAGACACTGGTTGCTGGGGACACTTGGCGCCTGGCAAAAGTGAACCCTCCTGGCATGAGCCCTTCCCCAAAATAATCTAACATGCCCCTCTCTCATTGGTTGGCCCCTTCCCCGAATGAAGGGAAAGCCCTTATGGAAAAGCAAGCTCATCATTACAGGGAGGGGGAGATATTCTGGGTCACGAGGATGAGCGGCTCACTGCCCCCCCCTTCATGTGTCTTTCCACCCCTTGCCCTTCTCCAGCACTTGAGATATGATGGGCCCAATGGAAATCTTAAGTCATGTTCTTCTCAATTGAGAGTTGGATATCAGTGTGTGCAGGGGGTGGGGCCCGGGTGGGAGTTGGGGGTGAGGGGAGATGGCCAAGAATAACTTGCTTTTTTCATGAGGCTGATCTCATGCAAAAGGATCTAGGGTGTCAGGAAAGATTCCCTTTGCTTTTCCCCCCACCCCCACACACACTCCAAGCCACCTACAATATTCCTTATTTGTGTCAATCCACGAGCTTCTTAAAATGTGGAGTGTGCTTTCTGATTTTAGAGGCCAGGCTCCTGCTTTACCCCTCCCTGCACTAAAGAGAGTCTTGGGCATTAAAGAAGCCTTTTCCTAGCCCACATGTCAGAGTGGCCCCATCAGTCACTGCCCCGCATACACACACCCCTTGGATTCCTGGCCAAATGTCTGTAGTGGTTGAGATCTATATTTATCCCTTAGCATCAGGGCAGGGAGTAAGCCAGAACTTTGCAGTGTCAATTTCCCAGACATATATAACTCCTCAAGCCAATGTGGGATCCAACAAAAGAAAAATTAGTAGAAACAGCCAAGAACACTGTATAGCATTTTTGGTCTGTTTGGCCCACCCCACTGGAGCCTGGGTGGCTAAAAGGCCTGGATGGAGTTTGTGATCCTTCCTTCACAAATCATCCCCCATTACACCCAGGTGGCTGAGAATGTTGCAGATACTGAGATTCTGGGCATATTCATAACCAAGGAAAACAGCACAATAGCTTAGATAGAGGGATTTAGTCACAAGTTCAAGTCTAGGCCTATTCTGATGAAAATGGCTTCAATTGTAGTTAATTTTTATTTTTATTTTATTTTATTTTTGAGACAGAGTCTCACTCTGTCACCCAGGCTGGAGTGCAGTGAGTGGTACAATCATAGCTCACAGCAACCTCAAACTCCTAGGCTCAAGCAATTATCCTGCCTCAGTCTCCCAAGTAGCTGGAACTTTAGGCACAAACCACCACACCTGGCTAATTTTTCTTATTTTTTTTAGAGATGGGGTCTTACTATGTTGTCCAGGCTGGTCTCGAACTTCTAGCTTCAAGTGATCTTCTTGTCTCAGACTCCCAAAGTGCTGGGATTATAGGCATGAGCCACCATGTCCAGCCTCATATTAGTCTTTCATGTGATTCCTAAGGCCTTTGGAACCTTCAAAAAGTAAACAAAGGATAGGTTAACTGGTCTTGTGTTAAGGTAAAAAAAGAGAGTACAGTCATTTTAGCAACATTTCAAAAACTAAGGGTGGGGAGGCAAAATGGGGTTTGGAGTGACATGACCTCACGTAACAAAATAGCCCATGCTACAGAATCTCTCATTCCTTAGCATTCTGGGTAATTGGTCGTTTGATATATACTTAATACATTTGTGATGTATTTCAACTATAGCCCAAGCTGCCTTCTGGAATGCCAGCTGTTGGGTGGGGTAAAATAACCAAATCCCATAGGATGTCAAAGACAGAAATCTGTATGAGTTCACACTCAAAACACTCTAGTTAAAGGAAAAATCATTCCTGCCAATTTTGAAAACAAGCAATATGCTTAACAGTGCAGCAGAATGGAGCCAGAAGTGGCCAATGGGGCAGCTAATGAAGCAGCAGCTACAGAAGCAAGAGAGGAGAAGAAAGGAGATGTTTGGAATAGAACAGTAGGTTCAAAGGCAAAATTATTCAAGTCTTGAAAACTACATGCTCATTTATTGGACAAACTTGTTAGAAGGTGCTTCTATAAGCTCTTTGTCCTGGGTGCCTGCTCCAGTAAAACCACGTGGTTGGTGACAGTGGCAACTGGGAACAGAAACAACCTTATGGACCGGGTCCTCCTGTTCCCAAAGGAAGGAAGAAATGGTAGCATCCTTCAGAGAATTTTTGACTTTACCACAAGATGTGCTAGTATATGGTATCTGTTCTTGTGGGCCATTTCCACAATTGTGTATGTGTTGTAGGGCACAATGTGTCTCAGAGCCATCAAAGAGCAATCGTGTACTTTCCCTACTCAGGGATTGAACTAGATCTTCAGGGAGACTCTGGGACATCAAGTGCAGTGGAGCTTAAGAGTTGTTTGCCATTGCAGTCACGCAGGCATTGTCAAATACTTTTTAGAACAGGTCCCTTCCAGAATTAGTGACCTGTGGAATCTGAAGGCTTTGGGTAAGGAAGCTCCAGGACAAGCAAGGGCCTGAGGCTGCCTATGAGTGTGCCCAGAATAACGTGTCCTTTTCGAAGTGCATAGAGGAGGAAGAACTTACTCGGGGCTACAATGATCAGGGAAGGCTTCCCGGAATAGGCGGGGTTTGGGCTGGACCTTGAAGGGCAGGCCTTCAAGCTGGAACAGTTACTGCCCGACTTTGATGATGCCAGTCTGGTCCCCAGTGCCCAAAGTTCCCCCTCCCGAAGAGCTAGCCTCTGAATAGTGGCCAGCAGGCGTAGCCAGCAGGATCACTGGCTAAGGCCAGAGGGTTTCCTTGACCTGAATGGTCCAGATAATGGCCCCATATCCCTACTTCACTGGGTTCCAGGAAGAACCCTTAGCGCATCACATTCCTGAGCAGAGTTTCCATCTGTCGAGTACAGTTGTACAGTGAGAGATGCTTTCATTTCAAAGGACTGAAGGCTGTGGGTTTGTAACTGTATAAGCCTACCCCTGGGGAAAAAATGAAGGCTTGGGAAATTGTGAGGTCCTTGTGGAGATTCAAGCCTATTTCCAGTGGCTAAAAGGCACTAATGAGTATAATGCAGGCAAGAGACATTGGTTCAAACAAACAACTAATTGGAATTAAGAGAAGAAGTGTGCAGAGTCCCCTAATGAATGGATATGCTAATTGGTCTTCTTTGTTAGCCCCTTGGGCTTTGGCTGTGACATAGACTAGCCTATTAGATGCCTGCTCTGTAATAGCTGCTGAACGCTGGGGCCCTTTATTGCCATGGTAACATTGATGTCTAGAGTCTAGCTGAGCCCTGGATCTCTTAATTTACTACTCAGGCGGCTACAATTCTTTGGGTTTTATTATTCTTCGTGCCCTGGGTGCCAGAGTGGCAGTGAATCATGCTTATTCATCCTCTGCACCGCCCACGGTGTCTTTGAATAAGTCAGGGTGTCTCTTACTGTGTGCGACGAGCAGATTATTAAGTTAGAGCCTATTTCTGCCTTAGCTAGACTGGTGCCTCTCAGAAACCCAATGTACCTCTCCAACCACTTACTTACCTGCTGCCTCAAATGGCTTTTGGCAAGCAGAGTGATGGCACTGCAGTGGGCCCGCAGAGGCCCAGCCTCCCAGAAACCTTTGCTTAACTGGTGGGCAGGGAGGAGCAGCACAGTATAGGTAGGGCCACACTGACAAGGAGAATGACACTTGGAAACATATGCCATCAAAATGGAGCAGTCAGAGGAGGGGGAGAAGAGTCACTGTAAAAAGGGTCCTGGCTGGGAACTGTGGGGCTAGAAGGTTTAATCCCTCTAGGATAAGGGGGTTGGGCCTGTGTGGAAAAGGACATCCCTTGTTCTGAGTGACTCCAGAAGAAGGCAGTAGCCCCCAAAGGCTAGAAGGTACAGGGGGGATGGATTTTATTAGACCTTTGTTGCAAAAGCTGGTAAGCTTGGAGCCGGAAAGTTGACAAGCAACTTATCACTGGAGCTGCCCAGACTGGTATCTCAGTATAGAGATGCTCTAAACATCCACGGCCGGGGAGTGAGGAGTAGGATGGAGGGCCTTGCTACATGACCTCTTAGGACTCAGGACTCTTCCAACCTTGCAATCTTGCGTGTCTATATATGATGCTGTTTAATTTATCAGGACATATGCTAAACTTGGATAATGCTTTATATGTACATGTGCTTGATTCAACAGCACATATGCTAAAATTGGGGTGATACTCTATATGTGTGTGTCTGTGTCTGTCTCCAGCCATAAATGAAACTTTGCAACAGGTGCAGAGATGTTTTCCTGACATCTCTGTCGCTAAGAAATGGACGAGCTGAAACTGAAGATAAATTGTGCAATAAATCCCCAAATTACAAATGACTCTTACAAGCAGGAGAGATTCTTGGGGTTGTTGGTTTTTGTGGTTTGTTTGTTTTGTTTTTGTCAGTTCACTGCAGCATTTGCAGCATTTCACTGGGCACTCTCATGGGAGAATTGGCGGACTACAGAGAAAACTGTGGGCTGCACAAATTTGGAGCACATTTACAAGGCTTTTTTCTCTTTATTGGGATTGGAAGGTATAGGGAGGGCGTGAGAGGTCTTCTTGAACTAACCAGATTCTAAGAGGAAAAGTTTTTCCCTGTGCCAGGCTGAACAGAGAGCTGTAAACCTAAGGATAGTCAGTCGAGTGTGCCAAGCACAGAAGGGGCTATTAGGCAACATTGGTCTTTTCCACCAAACTCTGCAAACCTGTTTATTATCAAGCAGCAGCATTTCCCCACACAGAGGACAGTGCTATTAATCCAACCCGAACCCACTCTGGATTCAGCAAGCACCAGTCAGAAATCACAGTGGCTCTCAGCTGCCTCTTAAATCAAAGTCAAATTCATAAGCAAGAGCTTAAGGTCTCTCCATCAACAGCCCTGTTCAGTTACTCACTTGCTGTAAAACCACAGGAATGCCAATTGATTTCTTTGTCACACCATCTCCCCACCTTGAAAGAAAATAAGTCCAGCATCTCTGCTTCCTTGCTCTCAGGAATGCTGTGGGCCTGGAACTCTTCAAAAGAAAATGGCAAGAGAATCCT